GGGTTTGTTCGCTCCCACACTCGCCGAATAAGGTTCATGTGCAGACGCTTCTTGTCGGTCTTGAGATGGATCGGTCTCATGTTCCAAAATCATTTATACTTAGGGCTCTATAGCAAACAATTAGGGAAACTAAAAACCATCCCAAATCGTCACCTGCACAAACCCAGGATTGGGCGCTCGAGCGGCTAGAGCCTTGACCACCAACATCAATCGAATGGTCGGTTGAAGTCCAGTGAAATAAAGCCCCTAGCCCCGTGAAACCACATCAAAACCTATGCAAAAACCACCCTGGGAAGGCCCTAAGCCCTAAACACTAAACCNNAAACCCTAAATCCTAAACCCCAGAAGCCCCCCTTTAGAGGTCCCTGGACTGTAGGAGAGCCAAATCACGGAGAAGTTCTTCACAAAGCCAGGGGAGTCCCACCTGTCAGGATTTAGGGTCTAGGGTTTAGGGTTTAGGGTTTAGGATTTAGGGTTTAGGATTTAGAGTTTAGGGTTTAGGGTTTAGGGTGTTTAGCGTTTAGGATTTAGGGTTTAGGGTTGTCTCGAAGGATGCCTGGGGCTGCTCTCAACTAGGGTGTCTCTTCCTCTGGAAGGGGTTCCTGCAAGGGGCCCTTCAAGGGTTTTATACGTCGCCCTAAACCCCAAACCCTATAAAAATCGTGTTCTTTGTTGTGTTGAAAGCCTTTTTCCACGGCAGATCCTGTAGAGAGCCCCATGGGGCAGGTTGTTACCACACTGCCTTGAGTAGATGACCCTAAACCCTAAACTCCACAACTCATATAGGATTAGGGATTAGTTGCATGCGCAGCCTTGATTGTAAGAGTGGCGTACTCTCAGAATCGTTTAATGTAGGGGCGTAAATATTTACCAATACTATTTCAGGGGCTCCTTATCAGAATTATAGTAAAATGGGCCACAAGAGCTCTATTCTAATTACTAAGGCCCCTAGTAACCCTAGTAATGTAGCGAACCAGCGAGCTACTCCCACTGAAGCCGAGAAACGAAAGGCTCCATGGGTGGTTCCAGACATGTCGACTTCGTCATCTCTCGTAGCCCCAAACCATACATTCCAAACCTTGGGTCCTAAGCTCTAGACCCCAAACCATAGACCCGCGTGAATAGAGTTTAGGGTTTAGGGATGCATGGTTTAGGGCTTAGGGTTCAGGGTGTAGGGATGGATGGTTTAGGGTTCAGGGTTTAGGGTTTAGGGATGCGTGGTTTAGGGTTTGGGGTTTAGGGTTTAGGGATGCGTAGCCGGATCACGCGCAAGCTGCTGCGGACAATCCCAATTCCCTCTGTCTTCGCAAAGCGGTCTTCGCCTCCTCGTACCGCCCCAAACTACTGATTGCCCCTGTACTCTTTTGTAAAGGGGCGGCGTGTCTGAGGACCACAGAGCAAACCAATCTCCCCAACCGGCCCAGTCCACAAACTCGGTTTAGGCTTTAGACTTTAGGCTTTCAGGTTCAGCCCTGAATTTCAATCCCGGATTTCGGGTTTAGGGTTTAGGGTTCTTTTTTGACCTACGATAGACGGACTTTTACGACCGCACTCGCCACCTTGGGCTCGTAGAGTGAAACAGGGCATAACACCGCCATCGTTGTCCTCCATAGACGCACATCCCATCATTGAACCCCACATCAGTGACGATCCATCCCATCATTGAAAGCCAACTGTAGGAGCAATCAGGAACGACAAAGCTGAGGGCAGGTGTACGTCACGGCATAGTCGGGGCTGTATCACTAGAGGAAGAGGAAGCGTAGTCCACGAGGGTTTAGAGTTTAGGGGTTTGGGGTTTAGGGCTTAGGGTTTAGGGGCACGTGCTGGAAGGCTTATGCAAAAGGACAGGTGGGCACCTGGCAACTGCACCGAGGTGGAGATGTAGCTGGTGCCTCAGTGCCCAAAGAACCATATACCACCTTTAATTAAGGAAGATAGCCTGAACCATAATTTGCAGCCCCTCAGAATTTCAGGTATATCTTAAATAATTGTAAGGGCGTTGGGCGCTTCGGGTACGGAGTCTAGGCCTGAAACGATTTAGGGCTCAGGGCTCAAGCACCCGGAACACCCGTTTAATTTTACAAACCTTCTCCGCGCGGGAAACGCAAAGAACGGGTCCCACCCATGTGGACAGTCAGGGCTCGGGATCTGGGATTCGGGCTTTCGAGTTTAAATGCAGGAAGTACTTTTGAATTAGGGAGGCACTGGGTTCTTCCACGTGGAGGCCGTCTCACATGCTTTGCAACACGTGAATACAGCCTTGAATATCTAGGGATTATAACAGGGATCTCAATGTCAGGGACTACTGAAAAGGGGTTCATCAGTCAGGGGTTTAGATTTTGCCCCATATCCCCTTCAAAGCTGCTTGAAACACCCTGTGGTCATATAGGGGGCTTGACAATTAGAATCGGTTCTCGGGTATGTATACAGATATATATATATATATATATTAATACTACACTGTGATTACAATAAGGAACCTCAAGATAGTATTGGTATCTATTAAGGCCAATGTAGTCACAAACCTCGCCCTTCTCCGTTTTCGGGCCAGGGGGCGGATCCACCCGGGCCTCCTCCACGCCCAAGGTGTCGCCGATCAACCGACTGACCTCTCTTACTTCTGATGGGGTTTACAGTTTCGGGTTTTCAGGCTTAGGGCTTTCAGGTTGTAGGATTCAGAGCTGTAGGGTTTAGGGGCTAAGCGGGTTTCTGATAGAGGGCGCCGCGGTAGTTCTCTAAATTAGGGTCTGTTTGAATGTCCTTCTTTGTCTTTTGCATTCATAAGGGTGCCGCTTTCCTTAATCATATCCCCGATTGTAACCTCCCACGCACCTCCACACCTTGGGAGCCGCAAACTGCCACCCTATATCGATCCTAATCGCTAAACCCCAAACCCTCAAACCCGGACCCTAAACCCCTAAGCCCTAAAGCCAAAACCCTAAACCCCAAAACCACACATTCCCTACCCATAGGTCCCATAGTAGCTCCCTTTTGGGATTACCTTATAGGATTCTACATATGAGCACCCAAAAAGGAACTACTATGGAACCTATGAATAAGGCTCCCTAAAGTCTGAACCCCTCAGCCCTAAAGCCTAAACCTCTACACCCTCAAGCCAAAATCCAAAACCCTAAACCCGAAACCCCAAAACCCCAAATTCCCTAAAATCTAAACCCTAAACCCTAAACCCTAAATTTTAGTCGCCGGCCTGAAAGACGCGGAGAGCACCCACCCGCAGCACCACGCGCAAGTCAACCTGGGCTCGAGTGGCGCAAGGCTGAGGAAGTGGATTTAATACCACGGTTCAGGGTTTAGGGTTTAGGGTTTAGGGGGTTTAGGGTTTAGGGCTTAGGGGGTTTAGGGTTTAGGGTTTAGGGGGTTTAGGGTTTAGGGTTTGAAGTTTGGGGAATAACTAGAATGAGTTTTGGATTATATGCTTAGTATAATTGCATAGGGACTGCGGGGGGATTAAACCCTAAACCCTAAACCCCAAACCCAAACCCCTAAACCCTAAACCCTAAATCCTGGACCCTAAACGAAGGGTGGCTGCAAGGTTCTACAAAGGTGTTTGAAGCGTTTCGTTGAGGGTGTAGGGCTTAGGGCAGTTGGGGTTTAGTGTTTAGGGGTTAGGATTTAGGGGTTTAGGGGTTTAGGGTTTAGTTAGGGTCCTTCGACTTAAGAGTACCACGCTCCTCGATCCCGAACCCCGAAGCCCTACCCTGACCCCAACGCCTGAACTTGAGTACCTTACCCTGTAGATCCCTTAAGCAATTCTTCGGGATCCCTTATAAATCTTTGTAGATGGGTAGTTCTCTAAATCACGGTCCCTTTTTAGGCCCCCAATATAGTACGGCACCCTTATAAAAAGGAACCCAAATCCTTTCTAAATCCATCCTGCACCTCGAGCGTCTCCACGCCACCAAGGCCGAAGACCCAGAAAGGACACCCAGCTTAATGTTTAGGGTCGAGGGCTTAGGGTTTAGGGTTTAGGGTTTAGGGTTTAGAGTTTAGGATTACCTTAAAGCTCTCTGAACCCCTCGAAGCACCCATGCAGAGCTGCACGAAACTCAAGCAAAGGGACAACAGCCCAAACCAAAAACTGAATCCTCAACCCCTCAACCCCTAAACTTGTGAGTTTATGTTGCCCCGGAATCATTTGATTTCATGACATGCTGTCATCATGGATATGAGTAAGCATGTGCGGCTCCTCCCCGCAAACCTCACCAACACCCAAACCCTCACAAAAAACATGGGGGTTTCCGAAAATTAGGGGACCCTGATATAGTACCCTAAATAATAGGATCCCTATTATAAGGGCCCCTAAACCCTAAACCCTAAACCCTAAGCCCTAAACCCTAAACCCTATTATAAGGGCCCCCACATAAGGTACCAGAGCACACCTTACCAGCGAACCTCGCAGACCTCACCGGACTTCCTTGACCCTTGCAGCCTCTCTTACAGGACACCTCCGAGGATCCAAGGGCCCCTAAACCGCCGGCCCGGCGGCATCTTCCCAGGGCAGGAGAAGCCCTGCTTGCCGGTGAGCCCGGAGGGCTCCTCTTTGGAGCCCTTCCAGGACCTGCACCTTTAAAGGGCTTCGGGTTTAGGGTTTAGGGTTTAGTCTAGAGTTTAGGGTTTAGGGTTTTAGGGTTTAGGGTTTAGGGTTTAGTCTAGAGTTTAGGGTTTGGGGTTTTAGGGTTTGGGGTTTAGGGTTTAGTGTTTAGTGTTTAGTTTAGGGGTGTAGGGCTTGTAGGGTTTAGGCTTGATACGGGCTTATAGGGTTTACAGGGCTTCGAGGGTTTAGGGTAAAGTTTAGGGTGGCTCTTTGAAAGTATTCTTTACGGTTCTACAAGGGCTCCTCAATTTTAAGGGGTCTAGACGGGTCTATAGACGGGTGTTATGGGGCTTTTGGGCTTTAGGGTGCAGAGTCGAGAGCTTCAGAATTTGTGGTTTTAGGGTTTAGGGTTTAGGGTTCAGGGTATCAGGCAATGATCATGCTACACCTAACTGCATAGTACTGCAAATTCTATTTCAAGCGTCGTTGCCTTTGCTTTCAGAGTATACGAACAACTATGTACTTACACACCTATACATGTGTATCTATATATATATATATATACACATAAACAGCTCTGCAACACCTGAGCTCACAATACTGTTACTGCCACTGCCATGACTAAAGTTCACAAGCCACAAGCATGATTGCGGGTGCTGTGGCTGGCTGTTGCCCGCAGTGTTGTTATGGGTGTTGCGGCAACTGGTGTAGCTGTTGCCACCGTTGATATCGTCATTACTCCTATTCCTACTACTCGGTTGTTATCACTAGTAGTACAACTACTGCCGATAGTGTTCGCGCAGTAGAAATACCACTGCTGTTACTATTCGGTTCTTGTAGAATACGCGTGCTCCCAGCCTACTCTTACTTCTAGTCCTGCGGTCCAGGAGGATCTGTCTAGAGTCTAGCAGATCCGCCTACCCTAAGATCCAAGCCCCCTCTCCACAAGACCCCTGACGTCTCAAACCTGTCTGACTGCATCCTAGTCTCGCAACCCAAAATTTGCTGAACATTCGGGGAAACTGCACACATGCACACACCAGAAAACTCTACAGACATTCCCAGACTTCTGTGTTGCGATCGCCCTAGACGTCCCAAACCGCTGGATAACCCTTGCATATTACGGAACCCTTGCCGAACGCCAAGAGACAATTGAAACTTCACTGCAACTAAACCCAAAGAACAAAAAGGATAAAAACCTAAACCCTACACTAGAAACCCCTAAACCCCAAACCTCAAACTCTAAACCCTAAACCCATGTAATCTCGAGCCTCCACCTGGTGCGGGAAGATGAAAGCTCGTGGCTTACTCTGCACTGCCAGGGTCACTCTGAGCCTAAGGGTTCAGGGTTCAGGGTTTGGGGTTCAGGGTTTAGGGTTCGGGGTTTAGGGTTCAGGGTTCAGGATTTTGGGTTTAGGGTTCAGGGTTCAGGGTTCAGGGTTCAGGGTTTTGGGTTTAGGGTTGAGGGTTGAGGATTGGATGTCGGAGGACTCACGGTTTGGAGTTTGAGGTCTCTGGGTTTAGGGCTTTGGGCTTCGGGCTCAGGGCTCGGGGTGGAGGAGGAGGTTGTGGGGTTCAGACCCAGGAGTGGGGGTTTCTTGGGGGAGGGGGGAGGAAAAAGCACAGCCCAAACACCAAACCCTGCAGACCAACGCCAAGAGAAGTCCCTGCTTCAAACTCACCGCTCTGGGGTCAACTTTGGGCTTTAGTCGGGCTTTTGGTTCACGGTTCAGGGTTTAGGGTATGGGAGGTTTGCAGCTCCGGGTTCGGGGTTTGGGGCTTTGGGGTTAGTGTTGGGGTTTAGGGTCTAAAGTTTAGGGTTCAGAGATTACTTGGAGGTTCATGGGTAGTTATAAGTATGGTTATAAGTCCCCTAATATGGGTTATAACTCTAGTTACCTTACTTATAACCCCACTTATAACTACCCATGAACCTCCAAGTAGGGTTTAGGATCCCTAAACCCTAAACCCTAAACCCTAAACCCTACTAAACCCTTCATCCAGGAGCGGGTGCCGCCGCCCGTGCATCTTCTGCTCCCGGCGCTCGCTCTCCACAGGCCCCGCTTGCCAAGCCTTTGGATTAGGGTTTAGGGTTTAGGGTTTAGGGTTTAGGGTTTGGAGTTTGACAGGGAAAAACTGAATTAGTGGTTCAGGATTTGGGGATTCGGGTTTTGAAACCCTGAGCCCTAAACCCTAAACCCCTAAACCCTAAACCCCTAAACCCTAAACCCTAAACCCCTAAACCCCTAAACCCTTAAACCCCTAAACCCCTGCACCCCTAGACCCCTAAACCCCTAAACCCCTCAATCCTCAACCCTAACACGCAAGGAGGCTTCTACACTACACAAAGCCGGGAGGCGGAGATGCAGCCCCCGGCCTCGAATGCGGCCGAGACATCCTCGTTCAGGGTTTTGGCGCTTTGGGGGTTTAGGGTTCAGGGGTTTAGGGTTTAGGGTTCAGGGTTCATGGGTTTAGGGTTTAAAGTTTAGGGTTTAGATTTTAAGGTTCAGTTTTTAGGGAGGGTTTAGGGTTTGGGGTTTAGGGGGGGTTTTAGGGGATTTAGGAAGGCTTGTGGGCTTTAGGGATTTAGGGTT